GGCCGCGGGAGGCGGATCGAGGCGGCGGGAGGGGAGGAAAAACCACCGCGAGGGACAGTAACGGCGCCGGGGCTCGGCCCTGAGGAGGTGTCGGTCCAGCGCCAAGCCTGACCCAAATCCCGCAGCACAGGCCCTGGTCCTGGAGGTGCTCTGGAGCTCTTGTGGGGATGGGAAGTTGATGGAAGTGAAATATGAAATTAAATAACGCAGGCAGGGCGATATTTCTTTGCCGATTTAACTTGACTACGTGCTCTGTGAACTTCACCCAAACATTGGGGTTTGGATGTTCTGCATAGTTTTATGTAAAAGTATCTGCAGGGGAGAAGGGAGCAATGAGGGGGGTGATCCCTGTGGGAGGTGGGCTGGGAATTTCCCCTAACCTGAGAATGCTGGCTGAACACTTCTCCTGCAGTGCACTGCCATTCAGGGGGTGTCAGGAGCCAGATGTAAACCCTTGGTTCTAGCATGAATATAAAATGAAATGGGGGGTTATTCTGGTTCAGAGAGAAAACGCCCCACAGCTTTTTGCCCACTTGCCTTCTGAAGCCTCTCCTTACACCCGTACAGGAGTGTTAAGTCTTAGATCCCAAAGCACTGTTTGCAACAAGTGGATTCCAGAGTCAGAATAACGTGGTTGTGTGAGATGCTGTGGGAGGTAATCCTAAACCTATCAGCCAGGCAAGTAAGAAACTAAGCCAGCTGTCAAGTGGAAGCACAGGGAAGTAAGAAAGATAATGCAGTGGAGGTCTGAGAGCAGCTGTGAAATTGAAGCCTCGGGGCTTTGCAGTCCTCAATGTTCTTTCCCATGACAAACCAAATGGAGTCCAAGCCTGATCCGTGGACTGGGAAGCTCCTTATCCCAGTCCTTTCCTCCTCTTCCCTAAGCTGCCTCTCTCTGTGCTGGCATATCGCAGAGGCTGCCAGCATTCAGCGGCTGGAGTGAGAGGAGAGAAAGAATGATTGTGTGGACAGCCACAGGCCTAAGCTGAACTAAGTTACTTTGGAGAGGGTGAATATTTGGGCTATTAAAAAGGTCAACCCTTTGCTTATAATGTGTTAGTCTTCATTCCTTTGCCTTCTCTCAAGACAGATTTACTTATCTGAGCTGCCAGAGGGCATGCATTTTCTACCTATTTGGAGCTGTCCTGGAAGAGGCAGTGATTTTCCTTCTTAAAGTGTTACACTGGAATGTGAAAGACAGTTGTACTACTCATACAGATTTTCTTGGAAATGGTCTTTTTTTCCTGAATATTTTTGAAGTTACAATTTGAAGGTTTTGAACATTTGTCTAAGATTTCTGTCCCAGTTTTGCAGCTGGTCTGCACACATGGAATAATTCCAACACACTTGAGGGAGACATTACTGGGTTTTTTAAGTGCAGATCACCTGCTTAGGATTTGGGAAATGAGGCCAGGATTTCCAGAACACATCAGACTGAGATCACCCAGTCTGGAGCACACATATGCTTGGTTCTGACTTGGAAAATACCAGATGGAAATCTGGCAGCTGTAAAGCAGATCAAACAAGGTAATTTAAAATTCCAGTGGCCCTGAGGAGATCCTTGGTTCCTCATACCAGGGAAATGTCAAGTAGTCGGTTGTACTGATTTTTATTTCAAAAGTTTCTGTATATATTACCAAGAGTTAATCTGTAAGCTGCTCTGATTTATCTTCTGAATACCGTGCAGCATCCAGGCTGTCCTGGATATGTCCTAAGACATATCTTTGGCCAAGATTTTATTTTCCTCAAACTGAGATAGACATTTTCTTTCCTGTGGAGTAAATGCAGAAGGTCTGGTGGTTTGTTCAGTGACTTGTGTTTCAAACATCATTATTTATTAACATTTTCCATTTCCTTCATAGCTTTCGGATTCAAGTTACACCAGGCCTAAGAAGTACACAGCATAAGGCTGCTTTTTCCTTTATTGCGTGGGGAGAATTGTAACATAGGAAATTATCCTACAGATTATCTATTTATTTTATGGTTTTTAAGAGTAGCAATCCTCAGCTCTTGCAATTTTGGGGAAAGCTTTAGGAGATTTCAAAGGGTGTGAGCAATCACTCTGGAAAGAAGGGCAAGATCTTCAGCTGCAGATTGGAAGCTACAGGCCACCGCAGCGTTCTCAGGTTACTGGACTGAGTCCTAGACCAGACCAACTCAAAAGCCCCTGTGACTTCTGTTGGCAGCTCACAGCCCAAAGGAACCAATAATTGGCAAAAAGGGATTAGCAAGAGCATGGATGAAGAACCCCATACCCCTTCCCCTGGTCAGAACACTCTGATGGATGAGCGAGGAACCCCCGTGTTGACTTCATTGCCATATTGAAAAGGTCTCTTGACCGGTCCTGCCAGCCGTAAGCCTGATTTGTGCCAGTGATCCAGCAGAAACCATAGCTCAGCTATAGAGCACAGTTCAGGATCTGAGCCAAAAATCTAGGGAAACAGTTACATTTTTACTTAACGCAATAAAGCAAAGCTAGTTACACTAAAGTGCCCAATACTCACTTTTAAGGTCAATAGCTGAATGAACAATTCTCACATGACTCTTGGAAGGGTCCTCCTGATTATGAAAAAAATGGTGCATCATTTTATGTACAGTGTCAAAGACCTCTTCTGCAAGCAGGAAAAATAGTCCTGTGATGAATAGGCAGATGCTGTTTTATTATTTAAAGGTATATAATATGTATGATACAATCTATTTAAACCATATTCCTGTCAAAACTGCTGCCTTCCTTGCCCAAGGAAGGACAGCTGAGGAAGTGTATTTGTGTATATTTGAGCATGCCTTCATCTGTGTCATTCTAGAAATGGCATGGAGCAGGATGCTGAGAGCTGCTCAAATTGGGAAGTTGGTGGGGCCAGCCAGGGACTTCCCAGAGCAACCTGACCTGGTTCTTTATAAGCAGCTGGTTCCACCAAGGACACCCTTACTATCCAAAAATACACGCTTGTGCTCTGTGGCTCCCCCACAATCTCCACAGAAATCCCAA